GATTCTTTAAATGCTCTGCCACCATGGCTCAAATTAATGTTAAAGCCGTATATATTTTGTGGCCGTTGAGAAAGTTACTATTTTGTATCTTTTTGTTCTTAAGTAGGCTTGAAAATTACTAGCCACCCAAATACCTGGATTTTTGCTGAGATTTTTGAAGCTAGAAATGCAGAGAGAAATACAGAGTGGAGCATTTTCTGTATCAAAACAGCCTCTTGTGAAATCTTTCCAAATAACTCTAAAGAAAAGCAAAGCTCTCTTACTCCCTCCCATGTGAAGGCAGTGCTGTCGGCAGCTTGGCTCACTTTAAATACGGTCCCTGTGTGGATTCCAAGCTCCGCTTCCCAAGCTCTCAGGTAATAGCATCTTAAATGGAAGTTAGATGGAGTTGGCCTCATACTCAGCACACTTCTCTGCAGAAAACAGAATTGAGGCCCGCTCTTTCCCTCACAAAGCCTCTCTTGTGATTAGCAGGTGATGCAATCCGAAGTGAAGTGAGAGAATGAAGTAGCTACTGTTAGGAGAAATCCCTGGGAGAAGTTTACAGGCAGGGCCACAGGACAGATATCCAGAGATGTCTACTCTGAAGGTTATGGGACTTTATGAGTCCTCAGCTTTTAGGGGAAATAAATCCAGTGAAACCACTGCTAGCCCTGGTCACGTGTGGAAAAGCTTGGACAAATAAGAAAGCATTGCCATCCAGTCAGAACAACACATAACTGACCCTCCAGTGGCTTTTCAGAGGCTGTAAATCTCATGAGAGGAGATTGCCCACCTCTCTCCTGCAGAGCCACTGGGGGGATTTGAACCCCAAGAGAAGCATTGCCTTTGAGTTAGCAGCACAATTCCCTGTGGACTGTACCACTAGAGTTCCAGAGACGGAGCCCTAAGTAATATGGACAACTGGCTAGTGGCTCTGTGTGTCAGAGGTTTTATTGGAATCTGAAAGGTCATTGGTTCGAATCTACTAGCTGCTCCTCAGAAGAAAGATGAGCAGTCTTCTTCCATAAAGACCAGAAGCCTCAGGAACCCAAAGGGGTGCTTGGTCTGAGTAGACTTGATGGCAGTGCATTTGGCTTTAGGGGTTTCTGTTTGTTATAAATGGAGCTCTGGTGGCACAAGCATTTAGCACTCACCTGCTAAACAAAAGATTGATCTTTCCAAACCACCCAGCAATTCCATGGGAGGAAGACCTACTTGGTGATCTTCTTCCATTTAGGTTCCATTCTAGAAAACCCTATGAGGCCATTCTAATATGGGATCAGTGTGAGTCCAACAACTGGTTGTTAGAGCCACAGTACTGTTCTCTCACAAATGCAATAAGCTTATTCACTCGTACATCTAGCTATCCAACCAATCATTCATCCATTTAACTATCCAACCAATTACTCATCCGTCTAGCTATCCAACCAATCTCTCATCTGTCTAGCTATCCAACCAATCACACTGTTTTGTCTCAGCACCGTGCTGGTACTGGAAACATCAAGAAGGAAACAGTGAAGTCATATCTCATGAAATCAGTGAGGCAAAAGCCAAAACTGCATATAGTCACAATTATCCTTGCACATCCCTCAAACCAGCCACAAAAGATCTTCTCGGTCTTGGGTCATGTTCTCTAGAAGCAGAGACTGAGGCAAGGGTTTTCCTTAATCAGGTTTTGATTGAAGGAGTGCTCAGAGGTGAAACCTTAAGCTGAAGCAGGAAACAGGATAAAGCAAGAGAAGTGTATCAGCAAATATGTCAGCTCAGCTGAACAGTTGTAGTCTAACCTCAGCGTGTCCTACAGATCCCGCCACCGGAGCTCCTTGAATGGGAGGACAGAATGGAGCACTGGCGGCATAGTGGATTGTGTGTTTGGCTGCTAACTGAAAGGTCAGTGGTTTGAATCTGTCAGCAGCTCTGTGGGAAAAAGATGAGGCTGGCTGCTCCTGTTAAGAATTACCACTATGAATGCACAGTGGGGTATTGTCATTAGTAGAAACAAACCCAACAGTAGTGGGTTTAGGTTTTTGACTCCTGAGAAGAAAAGTCAACATTTTTAGCCTAATCAATCATTGACTGTGAATTACCTTCTGGAATAGGATGAACCTCCTTGGCATTTCCAGGACAGATGGCTTCAATCAGATAAAAGTAAAGCTAAGAATAAAGAAGCTGCCATGATTGGTTGGTAGCCAACACTCTCAACCACTAGGGAATAGGGATACCAGTCAAGTCAGGGTATCTGCAGAAGGGGCATTACCAGCAGCTGCTGCAAGTAGCCTATATATCATTTGTTCATACATGTCATTTTTATTATGTGCCATCAAGGAGACTACAACTTGTAGCAACCCAGTGAACAACAGATTAGAATCTTGCTGTGTCTTACACCATATTCATGATCTCCAGCATGCTTGGGGCCATTGCTGCTATCGCTGTGTCAATCCATCTTGTTGAGGATCTTCTTCTCTTTCTCAGATTCTCAGTCTTTCCCAGCATGATGTCTTCTTCCAAGGACCCTCCTGACAACATGCCCAAAGTATGTGAGACCAAGTTTCCTCCTCCTTACCGCAAAGGGGCGCTCTGGCTGCACACTTCCTCTCAGACAGATCTGTTCTTTCGGCAGTCCCTGGGATATTCAAGTCTTATCTCCAACATTCCAATTCATATGCATCAGTTCTTCTTCTATCATTCTGAGTCATCATCCAACTTTCAGATGCATAGGAAGCAAGTGAAACTACCATGGCTTGCATCAGGCACACCTTACTTAGCCTTTAAGACATTGTTCATATATACAACAGAGCAATTTCTGTTTCTCCAATAATGTCTCAGATCATGATCTTTCTGGATGCTCTGAAGATGAATTGATTGGCTATGTTCAGGGACTAAGAAAAAATGTGCACGTGTGCACAGTGTGGTCCCACCCAGCTTGGTGCTATGAGGAAAGCTCCCACAGGAGCTGAGACTGTGCTGTGTGGGAAGTCGAGATGCCCTTGCACAGGATGGTCACTAGGAGTGACCTTGGTGTTAGCACCCGTGGAAGGAGAGATGGAAAGAAGAGTAGAGTTGTTGGGATGAGTGAGTAATTGAGCCGTACTGTAGGTCTGACAACCGCCCACCTCACCCCCTGGGGATTTCTGGAGCTAAATGGCCATCAGAGGTGGTATTTTTTGAGGCCAAGATGAACAGAACTTTATAATAATCCTCCATTGAGCCCCTCTGAGGAAGATGGGACCTTGTGTGAGGTGACCTTCTGCAGGTGAGGCCACCCCTGAAGGGGCCAATAACTGGAGACTATTTGTTGACTGTACTAAAATCTTCACTGGAATGAGTTTGGGAAACACATTTCTGAGTCCATGAGCTAATGAAACTGACTCACATGCCCTCTAGAACATCTGATCATTGAGTGGAATAGACACCAAATTTTCCCCAGTGGTTAAAGTTTTTTCGCTTGGCGATAGAGATGGGAAACTGGGCACAGAGTTGAAGAATGTACAGTATAGTGCATATTTTCTTATCTAGTCAAGATAAATCAAGCCTTACTTCTTGACCATTATCATTGTCTTATCTTGACTTTGGGGTAGATTCCTCTATGTTAAACTTGCTAAACTCTTTCCTCACTAGTTCACAGGGAGGTGCACTTCTTTTTTTTTTTCTTCTTTAGAGTGAACTTTATTTTTTTAAAATTATTATTAAATTTTATTCATTTTAATGAACATTTACAGAGATTTTGGGTTTTCATTCATTCATTGTTGCACTGTTTTCTCTACCCTCCTCCCCAGTTCGTTCTTCTTCCCCGCCCCCGAACGTCCGTTTTAATTGTCCAATTGCCACAGTGCTTGTCAAAGCCAGTTCTGAAGGGAGGCGCACTTCTAATTCAAAGGTTCAAACTCACCAGAGGCTAGGAGGGGAAAAAAATGGGTAAGCTCTTCCTGGGAAATGTCTGTCCTCTTGAAAGCCAGCTGGAGGATCAAATAAGAGTCAGTTCTGGCTGAATGGCAATGAGTTGAGTTGACAGACATCTGGGTGGCACAAATGGTTAAGTGTTGCATTACTAGCCAAAAGGTTGGCAGTTCAAAGCCACCCAGAAACTCATCAAAATATAAGCCTGGTAATTGACTTCCAAAAGCTTACAGCCTTGAAAACCCTCTGGAGCAACTCTCCTCTGCAACTGTGGTCTCTGTGAGTCAGCATCTTCTGGACAGAAACTAATGACAACCACAACATTGTCCTAAGTACCTTACAATGTTTTTATTTAATCCTTAGAATGACCCTAAAGGATAGGTTTTGTTTGTTGTTATGTGCCATGGAGTCATCTGTGCCTCATAGAGACCCTATGTACAACAGCCCTAAACCCTGCTCTGTCCTGTGCCAATCGCACTGTCCAACACACCCACCCCCATTACCCCAGTCAGTGAATCAACCCAATTTATCGAGGGTCTTCCTCTTCTGTGCTGTCCCTCCACCTTCCCAAGCATGATGTCCCTCTCCAAGGACTGGTCCCTCCTTGCAACATGTCCAAAGTATGTCAGACGAAGCTTCAGAATCCTTGCCTCCAAGGAGCAGCCCGGCTTCACCCTCTGCAGGACAAACCTGCTCTTTTTTCTTAGCTCTTACTAATTTCCACTTTACAGATGAAGAATGTAAGGGTTAGTGGGGGCTAGGGAGGAAATACCCATACATTGGAACCCAAGTCTGGCTAACTCAAAGGTCAAAACTTTAACCATTATACAGAAACCTCTGTGCATCCCTTCACATAGCACCTTTGATACACCTTCGCTAAGTCATGCATTCATTAATTCAACATGGTTTTACTGTGTACATCTGGGCCAAGCTCTGAGCTGGATTAGGATTACAGATTTAGCAGTGTAAACTATGAAAAGGAACATGGGTACATATGTCATGTGTGCCATTCTTTTCTGCCTCTGTGTGCATTTTGTAATAATCTCAAGAGATTAAATTAGCTGTAGGGAGCTTTCTGTATTTCCTTCTTTCTCAATTCCCTGTTTTAAACTTTTCCACAGGCTAAAAGAGACGCTAAACGGATGTCCACCAAAGAAGTCACCATCAGTGTTACAGACGGCATCCGGCAAATGGACAGAGGTTGAAGAATCACCAAGAACTGTGTCAACTAGTGGAGTGTCCCAGTAGAAGGGCTGGTTGGGGAAGTGGACACCCCTCGCTGAGCATGAGAGCAGCTGAGTGCTGAGAGAGTCTGTCTTACTGCCTCACCCAGTTGCCTGCGTCACTGGAACCTTCTCAGCCTGCTGTTTGTCACATTAACATATTGGCACAGTACCGACGTGTGTTAATAAACTGCGCATGTGCGGTTCAGCTCGCCTCTCTGCAGCTCCTCTAATAAGACCTGGGGTCAAATCAGTCAGCCAGAGGCACAAACCAATTTGTGAAACAGAACAAAGTGGGAGAAGGGATTTCCCTGACTGAAAGATTCATGAGTCAATGCTAAGTTCTCCCGGGCACAGTCATGAGTCCTGTCCCGGGCTGGCTTTGCTTTTGTTCTTCCTTTTTAAATCATCAAAAAACTTAACTGTGTTTACTTAAGCACTGGCTTTCATCCAGCTCTAAGCCCAGATACATGAGAAATCAAGAGACAGGAAAACTCCCGGTCATTCTTGTTTCCTTAGCTCAGTATGAGACAGACTCTGCTCCAGTTTCACAGGCATGAACTCCACGATGTGCCCTGGGTGCCCGTGGGAGGTCTCCTAAGCAGTTGTTGGGCAGTCAGTTCCTGCCATTTGCATCTTTCTAGCCAGCCTCCAAACCTTCACATCCCAATTATTTTGGTCAAGGCACTCAATCTAGGTAGCTCCTCATAGCTCAGCCTGGCACTGCATTTTTCAGAACTTATCAGTTTCTGTCTCTACTCTGTTCATGTCGCCTTTATGATTTGAAGTCTGGACACCACTCTCCAGAAAGCTAGCAGCACACATGGTTTCTCTTTGGCCTCTAAGTATCCAGCCCCAGGTTTATGTCCTTTGATGTCTAAAAAGTGATCAGTGTAGAGTGCCTGGTTGATGTCCATTCATATTGGCAAACTGGGTTAGAAATCAGATAGCTGATATAGTTAAAAAAATGTTTTGCCATGAAGTAATTTTCTAGCATTTCTTTGAACGTGTTCTACTGGAAATATTTTCCTATCAAGTAAGATAGCTTGATTTGTAAAAGGACTGTTAACGTGATTGGGGTTGGGAAAGATAGGACTCAAGTTGTACCAAACACTACCAATAAACTCCACATTTAGCTGAAAAAGGCAGTCTAAAGGTGTGTGTTTATGTGACATAGTTCGGAGAATTGATGTAAGAAGCAGGTTAAAATTCAGACACTTATTCTTGTCACTTCTCAACTCTATTACTTCTCAAATGAAAATGGGCACTATTGTTCATTAATTCATTCATTGGTCAGTGGTATGCTTACTTACTAAACATAGATGCCAACCCTGTTTCTGGCACTGTGCAGATGATGAAGGATTTGGGCCTGGCCAGTCAAGACAATATGTTGGATCTTTACACTGGACTTATATGATGCTGGCTTCTACCCTAAGGGGATAGTATGTGCTCTAAGTGGCTGTGTGATAAAATGTCACTTTTATGTGCGTGGGAGGCTTGTATCTTAAACTCAAGATCTAAGTGTTCTCCTGATCATTATAGAAGTCTCTCCCAGACCCAGAACTAGAGATTTCCCCAACCCTATCATTTTGTGATTCTTTGAGAAAGGGCTTTTAGAGAACTTTGTTTTGAAAATGACAAATAAAATAAACCCCCTGTGACTCATAAATCCCGCCCCCCCCCCCCCCGCATTACCCAGCAGGAGCCCCATCTGCCAGAGGGGTGCCTGCGGTGATCCTGTGAGTTCAAGGGCTCTTTCTTTCAGGGTGTGTGTGTGTGTGTGTGATGTAAACGTTGCCCTCATCAGTGTCTGTACACTTAGTCATCAGATAAGCCTGCTCTTTCTTTACAGCTTGGTTTTTGCATCCTTTAACTGCTGTACACTGTTTGGAATGTACCAGCTTTAGAAAGTGGCCTCTGTTTTAACATAAACATTTTCTCACTTCTGGGGGAGGAGGGAATGAAAGGCGTAAGATCTGCCTCTCCCTGGAACCATCTGGCTTTCATTGAGACAGTGATAAGAAGTCACAGCACATTATTGAAAATTCATCTAGCAATGTTTCCTCCTCCTTGTGTGATGCAGGACCTGGTTCTTACTGTCCTTTTAGGGTAACACTCTCCATTACAAAGTTTGTGTCAATAAAATCCTTTTTATCCAGACTGTATAGATTGTTTCAGAGAATATTTACTGGTATCTTAAATTTGTACATAAAACAGTTTAAATGTTTTTTCCCCCCTTAATTTCTTTCTTATTCTTTCTCTCTTGGTGTGTGTCTCAGTCTCTATCTCTATTTTTTTCATTTAAAGAATTTTTTTAAGTGGTCCACGTGAAGCCTCCAAATAACCTTATGAAGAAGGTAATGAAAATGTTATTAATCCCAATTCACCATTAAAAAAGGATTTCTATTCTCAACTAGTAAGTAAAGGAAGTCTGCCAGCAAATCTAGGACTTTCCCCACCATAACATGGTGCCATTTCTGGTAAGAATGTCTACACATAGCTATGAGATGTAGATATTTACAGGGAATCATGTGCTTTTATTTACCCGAGGATCCAGGAGTCGGTTCTAGCCAAGGTCTACGAGGGTGATAGTGACCGGAGGTGTTCAGTGAGCTCTCGCAGAGTTGGGTTGGTACCCAGCTTTTCTATTCTTCCTAGAAGCAACTCTCACAAGACTCACAGCTCATTCATATGCTGGAAATTGGATCGCAAACATATTTTGGCTTTCACGGTGTTAAAAATTAGAATTTTTCCACATAAAAACTCCCTTTTGGCAAAAATTCCTAGTTGATAACTTCACTATCTTACTTCTCCCCCTTGCTTTGTTAGATACATGTATGTTCATATAGAAAGTACACTGCTTTCCAGCCTCCCTTTCTACTAGATGTGGCTGCATCATGAAATTAGGACTGATGAGGTGACTGGTGAGGAAATCTCTTCAGGAGAGGATGAGCAGGCCTTCCCTTCCTGCTGCTGCTTGGAATGAGGAGATAATAGCTAGGGTGATAGTTGTCCATCACTGAGTCACAAAGTGGCCTCCAAGCATCAGAAGCCGTATCAAGACAAGTAACAAGTGACAGGAGGCCTCAGTCTCTGATTGTACTTTGCCTCCACATTGTCCTAGACCTCTTTATATGGAACAGAGACACTTCTGCCTCATTTTTATTACAACCAATCAATTAGTATGAAACCTTTGTATAGTTCTTCATTTTTGCAAACAAAACCTTGGAAAGCACTAATGACCAGTGGCTGAGTTGCCATCACCTTGGTTCCCTTAACAACAGTCTCGTTCACTCATCGTAGCTGAGTTACAATAGACTCATTGCCTGACCTCCAGTAGGTTTCCGAGGCTGTAAATCACACTGAAGGAGACTGCACGTCTTTTTAATACCCTGTCAGATTCATACTGACAAAGAGGTGTCAGAGGAAGAGGGAGGGACAGAGACTTCATCACATTCCACTTAACTTCTTTGCCAACAACCAACTTATAATTCATGTTGTTGTTTACTGTCAAATCAGAGCTAACCCGCAGCTGACCCTCCAGTGGGTTTTCGAAGGCAGTTAATCTCATCAGAAGAGATTGTTCATTTTTCTCCCATGTGACAGCTGGTGAATTTGAACCACGTACCTTTAGGCTGCCAGCACAACACCTTACCAATAGGCCACATACTGACAATTAGTGGCAGGAGTAAATGTCCATGGGGCTAAATTACTAAGGTGCACCTGGTCCAAGCCATAGTCATTCCAATCTCCTGCTCTGCATCTGAGAGCTGCACAACTAATAAGGTTGACGGGATGACCAAGAATTGCTGCCTTTGAGCTGGAGAATAGTGCTGAATATCCTTTGGACAGCCAAAAGAGCAAACAGATATGTCTTGGAGAAAAATTAGCTTTGTCTACATATTTTGGGTATGTTGTTAGGAGAGGCTGCTCCTTGGAGGAGGACATTATACTTGGAAGGGTAAAGGGTCCGTGAAAGAGAGAAAGACCCTCAATGGGATGGGTTGATATGGAGTCTTCAGCAATGGGCTCTGGTGTGTCGGGAATGATAAGGATGGGTACAGTTTAAATCTGTTGTTTAAATCAGGTTTTAGATCTCACTCTGAGTCGTACTCAGTTCAATGGCACTTAGCAACAAATTACTAATATTTGGGAGCTTATATGTTATAATATCTCAAAAATACTAACTTGATTCCCACTACTAATACCCTTCCATTGGATTTCCAAGACTCTAAGTCTTGTGGTAAGACTCTGTACTACAATCCCAAAGACACGTGGTTCAAATACACCAGCTGCTCTGAGAAAGAAGGATGGATAATCCCCTTCTGTGTGATTTACTGCCTCCAAACACCTGCTGGAGGGTCAGCTATCGGTTTGTTCCAACACGATGGTACCCAGCAATACAAAGTTTATCTAGATCCAAAAAGTAGTAAATATGATAAAAAGAATTACATATTAAAGGGTCATTAAGAACAAAACGAATGTACTGCTGTTTGGGAAAGTATGTATATTACTTAGGCTCCACAATTCTTTCAAAATTTTTTACTTTGTATACTTTAAATATTTTCATTCAAAAATGTCAATTGATTTTTTTAATGGAACTTGAAAGCTCAAAGCTTATGTTTGCATTTTTTACAAAACTGTCATAAAAATATTTTCAGGTTTTTTTTAGTGAAGAAAGAGGTCTTTGACTGAAAAAGTACATAAAGCACACAAAGAGAAAAAGGTCATAATTTATCCTTGATTAGCATTGAGCCTTGCAGTAAAGATCAGACTAAGAGTATGCTCACCAGCCAAGCATGATGGCCTCAAGGCTGTTCCCATTAAGTTAAAGACATGGAGATGAGGAACTAAATAAATAAGTCGACTAGGCTTAAGAATTATGTTGGGAAGAATTTTACATGTGAAGCTAACGTAAGTAACTCATTAAGCAAATAGATAAGAAACATACTGAATTTTTGAGAAGCACACATAGCTAAAACACATAAATGTGGAAAGCCTTTGAATGG